TGTGTTTTTGAAGAGAAGTCAGGAATGAATTTTGCATAGTATGTTACTAAGCCAAGAAAGCGTCTTAACTCATCAACATTTCTAGGGCGAGGCATCTGAGTAACTGCTTCAACCTTTTTAGGACATTTTTGAATCTTATTGAATGACACCACATGTCCAAGGTAATTAATACTTTCCTTGAAGAAAACACATTTTGTTCTGTTAAGATGTAGATCATTCTTCTTGAGACATTCCAAACATGCAATAAGGTTCTTCCTACACTCTTCGAGAGTTTCACCGTGACAAATTATATCATCAAAGTATGCTTCTACCTTTGATAATCCGTTTAACAGTTGTGACAAAATTCGATTAAACTCAGAAGGGGCTGTTTTTATTCCAAAACTGAGACGATTCATGTTGAACATTCCTTTATGGGTTGATATTGTTTGAATCTTACTTCCCTCTTCATCGACTTTTAGATGCAAATAAGCCTTATGAAGATCCAACTTACAGAAGTATCTTGATCCGCGGAGACTATGTAGGACATCATCAATGCGTCGAATGGGGTGGTTAGATGAGACAAGTTTTGAATTAACCCCACACTTGTAATCTACGCATAGTCTGACTCCTACATCTGGCTTTGGGATAACAACCAATGGTGACCCCCAATCACTTGATGCGACTGGAGTTATGATTCCTTGAGACTCGAGGGTTGTAAGTTCCTTTTCTACTCTCTCTCTTAAAGCGAAAGGGACATCACGTTCCCTAGTAAAAACTGGTTTTTCATTATCTCTGAGTTGGAGTTTGACTTCAACATTGGGAACACATCCGATTCTTTCTTCGAAAATTTCTGAGTATTTTTCGAATATATCCTCTAGAGACGGAACTAAATTAACATCAACTGTATTCATCGGTGATTGCTTTCTGTTGTCTACATCACTGAGTTCAATTCCAAGTCCACGAATCCAAATTCGTCCTAACAAAGCAGAATGACCTGCAGGTACTATAAATAAATCAGCATTTAGTGATTTTGCATTGTAAGAGACTGAGACAGTTACTTTACCTTTAGGTTTTATTATATGATCAGAGTAGGAGCGAAATGAGATAGGAGTTGGTTGAAGTGGCACTTTAAGTCCAAGTTTATCAAAGTCCGTTTCTGAGATTAAGGAAAATCGTGCACCAGAGTCTACTTTAAATGTTTGAGGCTTGTTGTTGATAGTGACTGTAACCATGTATTTGTCTGAGTCTGGTCCTACTATGTAAAGATCTTCCACATTGTTGATTTGTGTGATTCCATACTCATCTGGGTGACTGGATTCATCTTCTGTGTAGTGAGACAACAGGGTGTTTGTTTTAGAGCTCTTTAGTAGAGACGTTATACACACTTTTGATACGTGGCCTTGTTTTCCACAGGAAGTGCATTTAAGATAATTCCGATTAGTTTTGCATTCATTAGACTGATGGTTTGATCGACCACATTTGAAACAAAGTCCATCAATACCCAAAGCTTTGTAGTCAGCATGTCTTTTTAAGCTTTTGTTACGGAAATGTTGTGATTGAGATCTATTGGAACCGAGGTCATCATATTTGTGTGTCTTAAATTGCTTGAAACTTTGATATTCCTTAGTCTTAGACCTTGAATGCCTATCCATTTTGTGTGTATGTGCATTTTCACTTGATGATTGTGTGGCAGGATTACAAATTTTATTTGATTCATAGCGGGAAGCTTCTAGGGCAATTGCTTTTTTGAGGAGTGTGTCAAAACTGTTGAGATTAGTGTCTTGTAGAAGTTGTTCACGTATCCAATTGTCTTTTAGTCCTCTAATAAATTGAGGGCGGAGAAATTCATCAGCAATTGAAATTTTACTTTCACATTCATTGCAAGAAGTGTAAAAATTACAATCATTCAGGTTACCTTTCAGGACTGTGACAAAATCAGAGATAGATTGATGCAACTGTTGTGAAACACTGAGGAAATAGTGTTGTGCAACAATAGGAGATACTGTAGGTGACAACATCACTGTGAAATGTTTGATTAATTTTGAAAAATTAAGGTCTTTTACAGGATTGTCTGGGCCTAAAAGAGTTGTCAGATTATTGTAATGTTCCTTACCAATAGATGAGCACAGGAGTTGAGCTTTCATCTTGTCTTCTTTAATGTTCTTCAAATTGCAATAATTTTCAAAACGTTCCAAATATGATTTGAATTTATCATTATTTGGATTAAAATGTTCAAAAGGATTGATCTGAGGAGTTGAAGTTTTATTACCTAGAGCTGCAGCCAAAACATTCATGAGTCTTTCAAATTGTTCTTCATTCATTTTAAGTTGAAAAGTTTAACAAAATAAAATATCTTGAAAATAATAGAATAAAACAAGAATTGATAATAGTTTTTTACCAAATCGTCGCCAACTGAGATGACTTTCGAGTGGAATATTAGAATATAAAAAGACAGAGTGTTGAAATAGAAGTAACTGTGTTATATTAAAGATCAGAATAGAATAGTAAACAGCATTTGATAATAAACATTTTGGTTGCTATGGTAACAACTACATATGTTCATAACACAAACTGAAAGAGGTTGGTGTTTCTGTGCAAAACGTCACCTTAGATGGAGCCTCTGCTAATATAAGTGCTTTAGTTAAGTTAGGTTGTAGGTTTCCCGATAAACCATATTTTAAACTAAATGGAATCGACCATAACATATCTGTGATGCTAGACCCTCCACTCCACATGTTAAAATTAAGCCGTAACACTTTAGTTGATATGAGGTGCATTGAATCTGAATTTGGTGTCATTAACTATTCCAATATTGAAAAATTGAACGAATTGCAAAACAATCAGGGATTAAAATTAGCGAACAAGCTCTCAGATAAACACGTATTTTATCGAAACCGTAAAATGTGATGATGTAGAAATAGCAGAGTTAAGCTGCAGCGGTAATTACTCTGATTATATAAAATGATTTAGACAGTTAGTTAATATGAAACTAATTTAATTGGCAATGTGAATATGTAAGTTAGACATTACAACAAAATGAACATGAGATTAGCAGCTCAGACTTTGAGCAGTAGTGTGGCACAAGCATTGGAATTTTAACATTTTAAGGGTGATCCAAATTTTGCCGATTGTATGGCAACTGTAAAATACGGAGCGATGTCTACTTGTACCGGCGTCTAGTTGTACCTGCTTCTAGTTGTACCTGCTGCATTTTGGTGACAGGCGTCTAGTTGTACCTCGTCCAAAGCTGTAGGTACAACTTGACGATGGTGCGGACGTCTAGTTGTACCTACGTCTATTTGTCTCTACGTCTAGTTGTACCTCTTAAAAATCTGCAGGTACAACTAGTCGGGTACGCCACCGTCTACTTGTACCTCATACGTCTGCGTCTATTTGTACCTACGACTAGTTGTACCTACGACTACTTGTACCTACGACTACTTGTACCTACGACTAGTTGTACCTACGCCTACTTGTACCTACGTCTAGTTGTACCTACGGCTAGTTGTATCTCCCCTTCAACTTGTCACCAGTTTAAGGGATTTATTTAATTTTTAAAAAGATCATACAATCTAGAAAAAAAATTATAGGCCTAAACAACTTGCTACAAAAGCCAGGAAAATTTGGCTTGTTTGCAGCTCATTGAGAAAACCCTGTTCTTGAATGTACTGTGTCCCTTAGTCAGTCCTTATCCATATTACACTTTGGTTTTCCTTATTTCTTGTCAAGATCTGCTATCATTGTTTTTTCCACTTAAACTCTACCTTTTTATAGAAAACTAACATTAACTAGCTTTAACAACAACTTAAAAAAATTATCTTAAATAAATAAATTCAGAGTTTACAAAAACAAGTAATTTAGTATAATGAAGTGTTTTTGTATGGTATTAGTCACGAACAATATTACAATATTAGTTTAGTTGCAGACTACATCGCCAGTGTACACATACCTAGCTCGGTATCAAATTTAGTTTATATAGTTTAACTAGCTTCTCTAGTTTGTTTGAAATGGAAAAAAATTCCAATCACATGTATTATTTACTGTATATGTTAAATAGAGAAGTCTGTACATTGCATATTTTTGGTCGAGCTTTCAACCACTGGACCTCAACTTCATTGTACACTTCATTGTTCATTGTTCACTGGGAAATCCATTGTAAACTATAAGAAATGCACTCTAATCAATGCAAATACTTTAAGGTTATGTGAAAAAATATTTAAAAGAATCAGCAAAAATAGTAATACATAATTGCTAGGCAGCGGTCTATTGCAATTCATTAAGGATATACTGCTTGTATATTTAATAATATACATAAATGTTTTAATTAAATAAGCGATTTTCGGTACTAGGCTGGAAAATTTTAATTACAACTATAGCTGCCATTTCGACCCTGGACAGCAATGCTTAGATTTCAGCCTCCAATTAACGTCTGTAAAACTACTAAAACATCGTAGTGCAGTGAAAATATTTGCCAATCAAACTCAATTGACTCGGAACACAGCAGTTTCTGATTTAATTAAGGGTATTATTAAAATGTACTCGTGCAGTAATCAATTAAACAAGGTAACGAATTGAAGGATATATACAACTAGACTGTAAGGACGCAAAATACTTGTAGGTACAACTAGTCGTAGGTACAACTAGACGTAGGTACAACTAGACGTAGGGACCACTAGTCGTAGGGACCACTAGTCGTAGGGACAACTGGTCGCATCCGTACAAGCTAGGTGATACTACTTGTCGGTGGGATACACGTCTAGTTGTACCTACGTCTACTTGTACCTGCGTCCTGCGTCTAGTTGTACCTCCTAAAAATCTGCAGGTACAACTAGTCAGGTGTGCCACCATCTACTTGTACCTACGTCTAGTTGTACCTACGACTAGTTGTCCCTAGGCCTCGAGGTACAAGTAGACGTTGGTACAACTAGACGGAGGGACAACGAGACGCGGTCCCTAAAATACATCAAAACAATTGATAGGCTATTTGACTATTTGAATAGTGGGGACAAATTTGGCAAGGGGTTTAAAGGTCCCGTAAAACTTGTTAACTTAGAGAGGGATGAGAGTATGTTACAAGAAGCAGAAAAGTACTTATCTATCCTTAAAGTTAACGGTATAAATATTCTTGATCATCCAAGGACAACATTTGCACTTGGGTTTTTAAGTGATATCAAAGCTGTAAGACTGTTAAGAGATTCTTTGTTAACCACAAACACAATAAAGTACTTGCTAACGTACAAATGTTCACAAGACCATTTAGAACTATTTTTTCATGTATTCGAAGTAGATATGGTAACAACAACAATCCTAATGTGCAACAATTTACCTGGTCGGTTAGAAAATTAATATTCCGAAACAGTGTTAGACCATCTGGTCAAGGTAATTGTTTGGATCTTGATCCAGATGTTCACCATTTTGCCTTCTCATTGTCCGATTCAAGTAGTGAGATGAGATTTGACAGTGACAATGAGGAAGAAAATGACGATGAAGTCATTGCTATGTCTCTTTTATTTGACAGCAAAGAACGATCATATTATAAGGACAATGTCTTGTATTACATTAGTGGCTTTATTGTAAGGAAACTTGTACCTAAGATCAAATGTCAAGACTGTATTGCTGTGCTCCTTTCTGAAACAGATAATTTGAGTTATTATACTCAACTGACAGACTATGTAACTAAAGGTAAACTCATTAGGGCACACGAAGATGTTTTTAAGATAGTTAAGTACATTTACAATGTATTAACTTGCCAGCTTCAACATAAAGGTAACGTTAACACACAAAGACTATTTGTAGCCGCATGTTCCCATTTTGTGGGCACTATTTTTAAGGGGCACGGTGAGAACATTTCTTTTGGGGAAGATACCCATGAATTACAACTAATTAAGTTTGTTTGTGACCTTTTTTGTAAAATATATTGCCACCACACAGCTAAACAAAAAAGTATCACGTTTACGCCTAACATAGGTCTGCGACGGAAACTCACAAAAACTATTTTATTCAAAAATGTTTAATGATGTTTTGTTCATTAATAAATCGAGTGTGAAATGACAAATTTTGTACTTAATATCCTTTCTTCGCAATTACTTACTATTTTACCACGTATATTTTTGAACTAGTCATGTCAGTTGTGTGAAAAAAACATCTAAAATCAAGTTTAGTTAATGTGTAGTTTTAATTAGTTCAAATTGGTTATTCTATGCAAAAAACAAGACATACATTAAGTTTTTAATTGTAAAACGAGTTTGACATGCATTAGAAATTTTTCATCTTTACATATTTAAACAGAGCAGCATCTAAAAAGGTGTGTTTATACGGTGAGTGTATGGGATGCGCCGGCTTCTGCCAGTAGAGAGTGGGGGAACGCCGGACCGCGCGGCCAACACTGAGCCAGCGATCCATGAGTTGTCTATATCGTTGCTCTGGACTGGCGACACTCCACAGTACTGCGCTTATTGAAGCGTGTCCTCTCTATTTATATTATGTGCTCGTTGGGTAGAACAAACATGAAGGTTTGTTTAAAGGCTTGGTTTCTTTGAATCACGCAACGTCACTGCGAGATGCGGGATGCGCGATTACGTAATCACGCAAAAGTCTGTTGCAGCTATTGCTACGGGGGTGTTTTCTCTGACTTCATGTGCGGAATTCTCTGTGATTCCCGCCAATTTAGTAATGCGTGATCCCTTTGCGCGACGCACTGAAGTCTGGGATCCCAGACTTTTTGCGTGGCACGCAGTAGTTTTTCCCATCTGTTCATCTGTTGGGGACTGATAATTGTGTTGTTAATGAAACTGCAACTATGAAATCCAAGGTTTTTACTGCCATTTTATATGAAAAGCTTTCAGTATATAATGTTTCAACCAAAAGAACTACAAGAACAATGGAATCAAGAAGAATTGTTGACAGTTAATTGTGTCAAGCACAACATTTAAAACGGTGAAACAGGTTTTTTTAGCAAATTTCCCATATAGGGAATAAGCTATTACCGTAGTACTCATACTCATACTCAAAACAACGGTTTTGAATGCAAAAAAAGTCCCTAAACTTAGTTTCATTGTTCAATTAAATACCTGGTAATCAGAATTCTAAAACACCCTTCTTCTCCATGCCAAAGAGTCCTCATTTACTATATTCACTAGTAAATTTTCTTCATCATCCTCTTCCTCCAGCAGCAAAGCTACGGCAACGAGTCTGACATCCATGTTGTCCATGGCTGAAGATATAATCACGCGCTGCAAGGATGGAGTCATAGAAAACACCCTTATTTTTTATCACGCACGCGTGATTACCGCGTACCACAAATCACGGATCACGCAATAACGCAGCGTGGTTCAGAGAAACCAAGGCTTAAGAGAACAAACATGAAGGTTTGGGAGAAAAATCCCTTGACACTAGTGTCATCACGCTCTTGTGTACGGATATTATAAGACAATGCTTAAAAATAAGCTTAAATAGCCTCCTTAGCAAATTCAAGTTTCTACATTTGTTGTCTTGCGACATTGGTCTTCTTGCGAAATTTGTCGTCTTGGGTTATTTTTGTCGAGAGGCGACAAGCTGCGACGCATGCTACGCCAACATTTGAAAACTTGGAAAAAAAATTTTCCAAACTTAGCTCAGTTTGAAAACTTAGTATAACCTATCTATATCATAACAATTTTACATAGCTAGGCATAGGGCCTAGGCCTAAGCTTCTGTTGTAATGTCTAACTTACATATTCATCTTGCTTGCCTAATTTGTTATAACATATGGTTTATGTTATATTTCTATATTGTAATGAGTTTGTTTATAGTTGATCATTTTACATTCAGTACTCTATCTTATTCTCAATTAAATTAGTTTCATGTTAACTAACTGTCTAAATTATTTTATATAATCAGAGTAATTACCGCTGCAGCTCAACTCTGCTATTTATACAACATCAGGTTATGGGCCTTTGCTGAATTTTAATTTCTCTGATTATTTTGTCCAAGTTCACCAACTTTGAAAATGTATCAACCTCCTTCAATAGAGAAATTGAAAGGCCGTGAAAACTATGATACATGGACAGGGCCGGTTCTAGGAAATTTTCAGAGTTAAGCGAATACCCGAATCAGCGCCACTTAGGATTCCCCCCCACCACCCCCCCCCCCCAAATCATTAACATAACTTAACCGTATTTGTGAATTTTTTCCCAATAATTTTGGGAAGAACTTTTTTATAAGTTTAGGATAGAAGAATACTTGCAAAATAAGACTGTTTATTATTCGCAGAAATTTAACATTTTTACACTTTTACTCATCATATAAACTTTAGCAAAACCAAGGCAACACTAAAAAAACAGGCCGTAATGCTCGTCAAGCATGACGTCACGATAGAAGACGGCAATGACGTAATGTTTGCCGTTTGTGATCAGCTGCTTGTTTGAATCTTTCCTTGGAAAATAAATCAATAAATACCTACGTCATTGCCGTCTTCTATCGTGACTTCTTTGGGCTGACTGGACTCGCCACCAGATGATTTCAACAAAAATTTACTCATTGATTTGGCTTGGTTTTTATCTTACTCTTCCAAATTCGCCGTACACTTTCTATAATAAGTGACGTTTTCTTTTTTCTGCCATTGTTTTCTTAGTATCGGCTCGCAAGATGTTTGACTCATTTTATTCAGTTTCTTCTTATTTAATGCGCTTATTATAAACTTAAAACACTCGTAATCATTCACTTATCAACAATCATGAATCATCAAAACAACGCCAATACGATACCGATACGGTATACGTAAAGAGTGCTTTACAACGTAATGCTCTGCTCTAGGATAAGAGACAGAAGGGAGGGATGGGAGGGGAAAGTTTCTTGTTGTGACAAGTGGCGCTGCGCGCTTGCTTATCTCGAGCGCATGAGTGAATCGTGAAATGAAACCCACAGGCGCCGCGCCGTAAGCGTCAGCTCACTACAAATCGAAACTGCAAATGGCATTGAGTCCTTGAGTTGTAGTGCTGTACAAATATACACATTTTTCAAGTGCTGTTGGTACAAACAGAATAAATGCCTTTATTGTGGTATACTTGAACTCTGAGCTAAAATAAACAAAATTACGTTGTTCACGTAAAAAAAATTGTTCCGTTGGCACCACGGCGCCACTTTTTCGTGGCGCCATATGCGGCCGCGTAGTTCGCGTATGGGTTAAACCGGCCCTGTACATGGAAAGTTGCCGTTCAAGCATATTTGGAAGATTGTGAGCTCTGGGACTGTATTTTGGGAACTGAAGAAGATAGAAAGAAAGTGACAAAATGTAAATCCACAATTATCTTGCTAATTGATTCAGTTAATTATGTCCATGTTCAATCAGCAGAAACAGCCAAGGAAGCCTGGGAAAATTTAGAAAAGGCATTTTCTGACAGGGGTTTGACACGAAGAGTTGGTTTGCTGCGATTGCTAACAACAACAAGGCTAGAAAATTGTAATTCCATAGAAGAGTATGTTAATCGAATCGTGTCAACGGCCCACAAGCTAACCAACATTGGTCTGAAAGTAGATGATGAGTGGGTAGGAACAATTTTACTTGCTGGACTACCGGATCAATTCCAACCAATGATCATGGGTATTGAAAGTTCTGGTGTCAAGATGACGGCTGATTCAATCAAAACTAAACTACTTCAAGATGTATCCGTGGAAAATGACTCTTCCAAATGCATTGCGATGTACGGTTATGGTCGAAGAGAAAATGCAAGACCAAGTTTTCAGAACAGCCACAGACACAACACTTCAAGCCAAAAGAAACCCACCGAAGACAAGAAACGGCAAGATAGCAAAGATTGTAAGGGACCTCGATGTTTCCAATGCAACGGTTATGGTCACATATCAAGGAACTGTGACAAATCCAAGAACATCAGCACCAGAAATGAAAGAGACTGTGGAGTATTGGAAGAGAAATTGGAATATTCTTGGACTTAACAAAAGCCTTTGATAGTGTCTCACATGATTTACTTCTTGAAAAACTTAAATATAACGGTGTAAAAGGGAGAGCTTGGCGTTGGTTTGAATCTTATCTTACAGGCAGGCAGCAGTATGTCACAATTGATCACATAAATAGCCATAACCAATTAATTACTTACACTTCTTCAACAAAAATTGCTAAGTATGGTGTCCCTCAAGGATCAATTTTGGGGCCCCTATTATTCTCAATTTACTTGACTGACTTCCCCTCATTGATAGAATCTCCCAATCGTGTTTGTTTATTTGCTGATGACATCAATATAAAAATATCCGGAAATTCAAATTCTAATGTGGAAGTCTCTTCTTTTGTTGAGCTTACCAAATGTAACCAATATTTAAATGAAATCAATTTATTACCGAATCCAATAAAAACTAATTATATAAATTTTTCTTCAACGAGCAAAAATACACCTGATTTTAATATTTTTATGGATACAACTTTACTAAATGAAGTTAAAACAATAAAATTTCTTGGATTGCATCATTGCATATAGATGATAAATTCAACTGGGACAGTCATGTTGAAAATGTTTGTAATAAAGTCAACTCAGGCATACATGCATTAAGACAGATGTCAAAATTTAGTAGATTAAAAACCTTAAAAATAGTATATCATTCCCTGATTGAATCACACATTTCTATTGGGTTGTGTC